AAGAGGAAGCTGAGGCCCAGAGAGGTAAAGTGGCTGGCAAGAGATCACCCAGTGGATCCACTGGCAGACCAGTGCTCAGGACACCCACTCCTCCCATCCCTGACCGCCCAGCGAGGGCCCCGGCGCTAAGGCTCCCTCACCAGCCCAGAAATAGCAGGATCCACCCCTTTGGAGGAGTCTGGCCCTCACTCATCCCTAGGTCAGCTGAAACCCAGCACAAGCCACCATTGTGCTCCAGGGGCTGCCTGCCCACCTCAGCTCTTCGCTTCCTTCTGCAGTTCTTCTTACCGGCAGCATCAGACTGCCCTTCCCGGGCTGCCAATGTGTCCTCCGTGGCTTCCAACCTCTCCTGGGAGCTCCCTGGGTCCCTGCCTCTCATCAGCGTCCCAGTGAGTGTTCCTCACAACCCTGAACCTCTTTCTCCAGAGCCTTCCTTGGCCCGTCCCCCACCCCCTTACTTGAGAAGCATTCCATCCTATGGATTGGGATGGACATAAAACACACTCGGTGTGTGTTTGTGTGTATGACACCCCCTGCCCCCAGATAGGACCTGGGCCCTGGGCAGGACAGGAGCCCTGGGATATTCTCCCACCCCTGCCTGTGGCATATGCCCCGCCCCTTGACCACCCCGCCCGGCCCCACAGTACTCTATGCACTGCTGCGTGCTGGGGTTCCTGTCCTGCTCCCTCTTTCTGCACATGAGCTTCGAGCTGAAGTTACTGTTGCTCCTGCTATGGCTGGGGACCTCCTGCTCCCTCTTCCTGCACTCCCATGCCTGGCTGTCCGACTGCGTCCTCGCCCGCCTCTATCCGGCTCCCTCGGACTCCAGGTGCGCACGGCCACTGGACAGAGGGGCCCGGGGCCTCTGGGACGAGAGCAGAGCTGTCCTCACCTCACTGACCTGAAAGGGGGAGGGTGGCTGAGGGCTACATGGGCCCTCGGGGTAGGGAGGAGGCCCTCAGGAAGGGGCAGGGCAAGGGGCAACCCTGATGTGTGGCGTCCTCAGGCCAGGGGTGCTGAAGGAGCCCAAACTGATGGGAGCTATCTCCTTCTTCATCTTCTTCTTCACCCTCCTTGTCCTGGCTCGGCAGGTAAGTCACCCAGCTCAACCCTCCAGAACTTCCCTTTGAAGCGGGAGGCAGGGGGGATCCCCATATTTGTGACTTGGTCTCTCTCACCCTTTCCCTCAATCCTCCATCTCCAGGGTTGAGCCCAAATGGTGTGCCCACTGGGAGCTTCTAAGTGAACCTTCCGGCTCCCTTTCTTTCTCCTTCACTCCCCAAGGGAGGTGCCCTCAAATTCTCCCTCCCTCGTCCCTCCCACCCCACGTCCAGGAAAACCACCCTTAAGAAAGAATCTGCTGCCAATTCTGTCTTCCCTAGTTTGAATCTGGTTTCAAGGTAGCCTCCCCAGGGAGAGTTGGTCCTTGAGCCTTCTCTCCAGACTGGAGAGTGGTGTGGTTTGAGGCATCATGGAGCGCGAGGGGGCGGGGGGGAGGGTGAACACTCAGGAGCTGAGGCTCCCCCTGCACTGTGTCTCCCCTGGGGCCCCTGGTGACCCCTGCCAGAATGAGTATTACTGCCGCCTGGACTTCCTGTGGCAGAAGAAGCTGCGGCAGGAGCAGGAGGAGACAGAGACAATGGAGAACCTGACACGGCTACTGCTGGAGAATGTGCTCCCTGCGCACGTGGCCCCCCAGTTCATTGGCCAGAACCGGCGCAACGAGGTGACTCCCCCGCCCCCGACTCCTGAGCCCCAGATGCCATAGACACTAATTTCAGATGGAAATCTTGGCCCTCGGCCCATCGTCTCTGGTCCCCCCACAGTGGGTTGGGTGGCCACCCGGGTCCCTGTCCCTGTCAGGTAGGTGCCTCCATCTTCATAAGCTCTTAGGCTTCGTCTGCTGAGCACAGAATCCCTGTGTTCCAAGTTCTTACTTAGAAGGCGTGTCTTCTCCAACCCATGGCCCCTCCATACCTCCCAGAAGCTTCTTCGAGTGTTGATGGGAGTTGTGTGGAGGACACCCAGTCCACCCAGCCCTCTGGACCTGCACTATCCAGGATGGTAGCCAGTAGCCATGTGTGGCCACTTAACATTTAAATTAATTCAAATAGAATGTTCAGGGCCTCAGCCTCACCGGCCACACTTCAAGTGTCTACGAGCTGCTTCTGGCCAGTGGCTACCATATTGGACATCACATACAGAGAACTTTCCAACACCACAGGAATTTCCATTGGTAGATGTTCATCTCCACCCTCAAACGTGCTCTAGTCAGACCGTCAGAGAAGGTCACCCACATATTGGCCCCGTTTTATCTGTACTCCCTGTCTGCTATGGAGACACTCTTGGCCTGTCCTGAGGAATGTGAAAAGAAACAGGTCAGGGGCTATTTCACAGCTTTATGCCGCCAGCAGTTGCTCTCTGCACTCAAATTCACCGGTAGATCTACTTCTCCTGGTGTTTTCTCTTATTTACACTGGGACTCTCATAACTAGTCCCGTTTCTGTCTTCACACTGGCTGCTAGAAAGCCCAGAGCCAGAACCTAGGCCTGACAAGGACTTCGTGTCACCCCTTTCGTGAACCAGCTTCAAATAGGATTCCATCTTTACTATCTTACCTTTGTTTTCCCTTTGTCCCACATCCCCTATTATTTTATCTTCCAAATTGTAGCTGCCCCTGTAAACTGACTTAACTGGCTTAACACCCTTCAGCAGTAAGGTAGGTTAGAAAGACCATCCCCACCAACATGATCCCAGTTCTTGAAGAGACTCCCTTCATGTTGCTATGAGGTGATCCTGACTCCAAACCCCTGTCTTTCCTGGGATCATAATGAGACCCGATCTTCGACTCCTGAGTCACACATCCCTGGGGTAACCTGGCCCTACCCCTCTCCCTCCTTTCCAGTCCTTAAATGGAGGGGCAAGAGTATGGACACAGGGAGGAGGGCCCATGCAGACCACAGGGGGAAGAACGTGGCTTGCTCCCTCATCCCAGCCTCCCACCCTCCAGGACCTCTACCACCAGTCCTACGAGTGTGTCTGTGTCCTCTTCGCCTCAGTTCCAGACTTTAAGGAGTTTTACTCTGAATCCAACATCAACCACGAGGGTCTAGAGTGTCTGCGGCTGCTCAATGAGATCATTGCTGATTTTGACGAGGTGACAACTCCAAGGGTCCCCCAGACCCTTTGTCTTGGATGCTAGAATTTCCCACCATCCCTCCTGCCCACTTACTCTCCAGCCAGGGGCCCATCCTCCTCTCCCTGGCCCTGCCACTCCTCCTCTGATCCCCCAGCTCTCCAGCAACTCTTCCCACAATCCACTCTCCCTCCTGCCACGCTCCCTGACCCCACAACCTGGTCCTTTCGTCTCCAAAGGCCTGGGGCTGGGCTTCTGAGAGGGAGGAGGGAGAGAGCAAGAAAGACTGGGGACACAGCCTCCTTTCTGTACAGCTGCTCTCAAAGCCCAAGTTTAGTGGGGTGGAGAAGATCAAAACCATTGGCAGCACCTACATGGCAGCCACAGGCTTAAATGCCACCTCCGGACAGGACACACAGCAGGTACAGCATCCCTTCCTTACCCACCAGCGCCCATCTGGGCTTGCACTCCTGGGCCCTCACTGACCCATGGTGGTGGGCCGGCCCATTGCTAGGATGCTGAGCGAAGCTGCAGCCACCTGGGCACCATGGTGGAGTTTGCAGTGGCCCTTGGATCGAAGCTGGATGTCATCAATAAGCACTCCTTCAACGACTTCCGCCTGCGTGTGGGTGAGGGCCCTCCCTTGCTGGGGCAGTTCCTCTTCACCTTCTCAGGCTCTTCCTCCCCCAAAGTCCTTTGTTAGCTACTCCCCAGCTCACCCCTGGACCCCCCTACCACCAGCCTCATCCCTGGGGGTGGAGCATGAAGCTGCTGGGCCAGGAGCTCTGGGGCTCAGCCACCCCTTCCCTAAGCCAGACCCCTCCAGACCCATCCTCCTTTCCTCTAAGACCTCCAGGCCTTCCGCCTGAGTCTTGGAGCTTGCTCCTCCCCTCGCCCTCCTTAAACCCCCCCCCCCCCACCTCCCAGGGCTCCTCCTGACCACACTTCTTGTCAGGGTTGAACCATGGACCTGTAGTAGCCGGAGTGATTGGGGCCCAGAAGCCTCAGTACGACATCTGGGGCAACACGGTGAACGTGGCCAGCCGCATGGAGAGTACTGGAGTCCTGGGCAAAATCCAAGTGAGGAGGCCATATTGGAGGCATGGGGTGGGGGGATAGGATAGGACCACCCCCACACTCCAGGCTCATACCCTTTCAATCCCAGGTGACTGAAGAGACAGCCCGGGTGCTGCAGTCCTTAGGCTATACCTGCTACAGCCGGGGCATCATCAAGGTCAAAGGCAAAGGGCAGCTCTGCACCTACTTCCTGAACACAGATTTGACACGAACTGGCCCGCCTTCGGCCACCCTAGGCTGAGACCCCCATCCTCTCTATTCTAAGATCCTCAATAAAAAGACTCTGGGGGCACCTGGCTGGCTCAGTGGGTTGAGCGTTCGACTCTTGATTGCAGCTCAGGTCACGATCTCAGGGTCGTGAGATTGAACCCTGCTTTGGGCTCTGCACTGAGCGTGGAGCCTGCTTGAGATTCTCTCTCTCCCTCTGCCCCTTTGCTCTCTCTTTCCTCTTTCTCTAAAAAAAAAAAAAAAAAACAAAACAAAACAAAAACTCTGGTATGACTGGAGCCAATCGATGTCAGAAGCTCCTGGTATAGCTGCGGATCACCTTCTCCTTGCCTCTCAACAGGATGCTTCTTCCCAAGCTAAACCGAGTTGTGTATGCAAGTGTGATCATGAGTATGTTAGAAAGGAGTGATTCTTCACAAGCTCAGGAAGAGGACTGCCTCAGCCTCCCTGCCTGATTCCAGTATTTTGTACACCTCGGAAGTGTAAAGAATTTTAGCCACATGACTCAAAATACGGATTCGTCCTTTCCTGCTCCCCACCCACAAATACTGGGAAGGAATGGCTAGGAAAGTGTCATTTGACCTTTATTCATTCAATAAACACTAAGTAAGCACTTACTCTGTGCTTCCTAGGCAGCATGGGCGCGAGAGGCTTGGGAAATGATCTGTCAGGTCCCTCCCTGTTTTCAGCTGCTGCTGTCAGATTGACCCATGCTTTCCAGCCAAGACCTGTAGACAGTTTTGGGATTCTCTTGTTCTCAGGTCCCTCAGATGCCCTCTTGCTTCCTTCTGCATCCTTCTGTGCAGGTGCTGATATTATGGGGGTCTTGAAGCATCCTTGGTTCGTTCCTGCCTGCTCAAATTTGGGGGTCTGTGAGCGATATCTTGACACCCTAGGTTTGTTACAGATGTTGCACATGGATTCTTGGTTTTTCTCCTAGTTGCTCTTTCTTTATGGGAGAGATTCAAAAAAGTACTCTGCAGCCACTTCTGCTACCATCTTCCTAAAATGCTGTTGGGACAGAGCCAGTCTGAGGCTCTCTAAAACAGTCATCCCTCAGAAAGAATGACTTAACCCTCTCACTTGTGGGAATCTTAATTTCCTAAGAGTGACCAGGGTCACAGAGGGCATCAGAGTGTATTTTGGGTGCTGGCAGAAAGCTGACGTGCAGAATTCCAGGGCCCAAACCTGATGACTTTGTTTTCAGGGGAGACCTCCTTGGGAGATGGAGGGAAGGGAGGCGTCCCCTTAGAACATTGCCCACTGAAAGGACAAAGATGAGTAGCAGGAAGTTGGAGTCATGGTAACAGTGATACCTATCACAAGCTTCAGGGTAGAGCTCCCACAGCAGTGCTATGTGTACTCATAACATCTGCTAATTCAGGGAGTCTGGAGTGATAAGCCACATGAGTGGCCTTCCTTGGTCAGCTCCTAAAGGGGTCTGTAGCCCTGTGTTGCTCTAAGTATTACCTGCAGAGCACCTGCCTCAGAATGGGGCAGGAGAGAGGGTTCTGGGTTCTCTATCTTTGTGTCCCTTCCCAAACCGAAAATCACGGGAAACTAAAGGAAGTGCCTCTCAACTGTTGAGAATGACCTCACCCCCCCACCCCCACCGCCGCAAGAGCGCGCCGGGGCACGCCTCTCGCCCCTAATGCGCGCGCCCCACACACAGGGCTGACCCAACGTGAGACCAGTTTTAATTGCAAAGCTGCTACCGGGCTTTCACTCTGCCCTTACCTGCCCCGCCCCTCCCTCTTCCGCTCCACCCTCCTCGCGGTTCTCCTCCGCCTCCGCCTCGGGGTAAACTGGGTCAGGCCAACGTGGGGAGCATTCGGCCGAGCCGCGAGGACAGCCAGCGTCCTTCCACCAGCAACCTCCAGGCCTAGTTCAGTTCGCTTCACTGGAGAGCGTCGATGGAGTCCGCGAGGCTCTCGGAGGGGCCGGTCTCGGAAGGGGCGGGGGCGCCCCTCACCGTCTGGCCCAGGGTGCCCCCGCGGCGGGCGCTGGACGCCTCGGAGCCGGTGCCCTCCAACAGCTTGGCCACGAAGCCCACGCCGGCCGAGCGCAGCAGGCCGCCGCCGGCGCACGCGTACAGCACGGGGTTCACGCTGCTGCTCAGGAAGGCCAGCGCGATGAACACATAGCGCGCCAGGAGCAGCGGGTCTCCCCTCGGCTCCGGCCCCGGCCCCGTGCCCGCCAGCGCCCGGCCGGCCTCGGCCAGGTTCACCACGTGGTAGGGCAGCCAGAAGGCGGCGAAGGCCAGGATGATGAGCGCCACCAGGCGGCCGGTGCGGCGCCTGCGGCGGAAGCGCCGGGCCTGCAGCCTGCGCCTGATGTACGAATAGCTGACCACCACCACCAGGAAGGGCAGCAGGAAGCCGGTGAAGGCCTCGAAGAGCAGATGGAATGCCTTGGCTCGTTCGCTGGAGTACTTCAGGAAGCACAGGGTCTGGTTGTTCAGTGTGCGGTACATGATGACGGGTGTGGCCAGCAGAAGGGACATCACCCAGATGCTTGCTAGCACCCACCAGGCAACGGCCTTGGTACGAAACTTCTGGGACACAAAGGGGAGGGCCACCGCCAGCGAGCGGTCCAGACTCATGACCGTGATCAGCAGGACACTGGCGTACATGCTGACTCCGCAGGTATAGTGAAACAGGCGGCAGCCAACCAGTCCAAACACCCAGGTGCTGCGGGCCACAGAGTACAGGAAAAAGGGGGCAGTGAACAATACAGCCAAGTCCGCCAGGGCCAGGTTCAGCACGAGCAAGGCTGTGACAGAGCGCTTTCGCATCTTTACCAGGATGCTCCACACCACAAAGCTGTTACCAGGAAGCCCCACAGCCAGCGCCACTGACAGTATGACGATAGTCAAGGGAATGATGAACATGACACCTAGTGAAGAGGTACTGCCCCAGATGTAGTGTCCGTGGCCACTGCAAGGACCTGGAGAGTGAGGGCGAACACAGGCATGAGGGTAGGGGGCCCGAGGCTTCCTCCCGCCCTGGATACACCTAGCCTGAGGACTCTGGTCCGTCTCCAAGATCAGCAGCAGCAGATGCACCTCTGCAGTATACTGCCTTCATCCCTTCATCAACGGACCTGGCTTCAGGGGATCTGGCAGAGCACAAAGACAGGTTTCTAACTGGACGATGGGGCTCCTTCTTGCCCACAAACCCAATTGCCAAATACAGAGCTACAGCAGCAGCATTTCCATACCCTTTCTGCCTCCTTCCCTTCTGAGACCCAGAACCAAACAGGGCGGGGGGCCTTCCTTACCAAAGCTGCACCCCTCAAAAGCCTAGCTCCTCTGTCACCTGGCAGGCCCTTAGCCCCCTCAGTCCCCTCGACTTCCTCCAGTCACCTGCCGACTCCAGAGCTGCCCAGGGCCCACCAGGAATAACAGGCATGGGGAGGAGTTTGTGGATAGGAGACAAGAACAAGCCCTCCCTGGTCCTTTTACCACTGGTCAGGCTTTCTTTGGAAATTCCTTTGCACCTTCTCTCACAGTTGTATCCTGCCCCACCCCTACCTCCCCTGCTCCCAGGATACTTACTTCCAGGCTTTGCCGGGTACCGGTTGGAAGCTGGTGCCAATCCCAAGGTCAGGGCAGAGTGGCGCAGCTTATCCCCAGGTCAGCCCCAGTTCCAGGGTCCCAGCCCCAGGTCTGGGTGCTGTCAGCTAAGTCCGCCAGAGAGGAAGTACCAAGAAGCAGAGGAGGGGGAAGGCACATCTTCCTGAGGGTGGGGCTGACACTCCTAGCCCTCCCTTCACTGGGGGAGGGGAGGGGAGATAGTCTTTGTGTTCCCGAAGAGCCTAGCAGGGAGAAAGACTCCTCATGGGTGGGACCAGATGAGAAGAGCCCAGGAAGGTGGAATGAGAGGAAAGCGGGGGTGAGGGGAGTGAGTAGGCTGGGGTGTGCCCTCAGATGCAGGTCTAGACCGGAGAATTGGACAGAGTAATAAACTGTCATACAGGAGGAGGGAGGGAAGCCAGAGAAGGGAAATGGCCTCAGATGGAGAGGCAGGAATGTTGGGTATCTTTATACGTTGTGTAAATAATGCAGATTCTTAGATCAATAGGAAGCGTAGGTTAGACCTGTGGCTAGGTTATGGGTTTGGGTTTAGGTAACATCAGGACTTAAAGAGGACAGCACCCTGTCTTTGGCTTGGATTCAAGCCATGAGTGGAGGGGGAGGGGGAGGGCCCTCTTTCAGCACCCAAATCTATTCCCTCACTTAAAAGGGTTGCTTCAGCTCTAGGTCAGTCAGTTCTCCCTTCCCTTTGGCAGAAGCCAAAGTCCAAAGGATCTCCTTAGAATCGCACAGAATGCCAGTTTCTCCGCCCTTCCCCAGCCACTTGCCTTACACTTGCCTGTGTGGCTTGCCTGCCACATGAATTTGGATTTAAGATCTGGGCACTGGGCAAAGAGGTTGGCGCCCTCTCTATTGTACCTTCCCATAGTTGGCTGTCCAGTCCCACCTCAGACACACAGAAAAGGTGGAGCCTGAGCACAGGGAGAGGAGGTGGGGGCAGTGATGCCTCACACCTGCCCTGCCAGGAGGGGCAACCAGGAATGTGCAAAGAGGAACAGCCTTCCCAAATGGTCACTCTTCTCCCTTCTTGGAGGGAGGGCAGTCTCCCCCTGTGACCTCTCCTGCAGGGGCTAAGATCTGAGAAGTCTTTCCTTCAGTCTGACTGTGAGCCTTCCTGCTTCCCTGCCAACTCTGTCACTTGTCAGGAAAGACGTGGCATGTGATGGTGGTCACTGCGGTCCCTTACCCTTCACAGCGTGCCCACTTTCTCTGCTTTGAGAAAAGGCCAGCGCAGAGCAGACCCAGCAGCTGTGAGGCAGAGGATGTGATGCAAAGAAATGGGCTGAAACCACAGCAAGAAGGCAGAGTTGAGGAAGGGCTTTCTGACCACAGATACTGTGAGACGGGGACTATGGAAGAGAGGAAGTTGGGGAGCCTCTGCCCCGGCACATGAGAACAGGAAGAAGCCCCTGCTGTCGGTGTTTGGGGATGAAAGTTCTGGCTCAGAGCTCCAGGGTTAACCAGAGGCTCCTTCTGGCAGAAGCTGGGTTGTCTTTGCCTCCTCTCCCACACTACTCCCCACCTCCATGTCTCTCAATGGCCTTTCTTCCTCCACCCCAGACTAGATACTCTAAGCATACTTCCTGCCCCCCAAATCCAGAGCTCCACTTCCGCCCCAGTTTGGGTGGCCCTGGCATGACCCTGAGGACTGAATTTCGTCTGTTGTTTCTTGGCCTCTGCCTGGGTGGTGTAAACAGTCACTAATGCAGAACCTGGGGTGATGGTCCCGAGGGAGCACTCACGTAAACGGCCATCAGAGTTTGCCAAGGACTGAGAGGACTGGAACAAGAGATGTTCAGCACTAAAACTGGGAAAGCCTTGGGCAAACCAGGACGAGTCGGTCACGCTAGTGACCGCATGTGTGTGCACGTGGACACCCTCTAATAAAGAATCCTATCCTACATCCTCAAACTCAAAAGTGTTGGGATCCAGAACAGCTTTAGGACCTAGAGATGGAGAGACTCCAAAAGATGGGGGCCAAGAAGTATTGGAGGGTGCTGAGCAACAGCTAGCAGTCTTGGGAGGAGTCAAGGTTTGGCAGAAAGAAAAAGGAGACAAAGGAGAGGGGGCGCCTCCCTGAAAAATTCTCCTGTCCTCCAGCCATCCACACCATTCCCCATACCTGCTCAGCTCCAAGCCCCAAACGTCCCCAGGGGTGAGCATGTGCCTGCTCCTGGGCTCCTTTTTGAGTCAGGTGACCTTTGGGGGAAGAGTTGGATTCAGAGAGGAAGACAAATCTGACGCCCAGGGCTCCTTCCCCCGCTGTACCAACTGCAAGACAGGAAAACTATCCTTTCAAACCCCACAGATTATCTTTCCCTTTCCAAAGCCAGGTTTTTCTCCACTCGGCTCTTGCAGACCCCAGAGAATGGATCCCACCCCCATCCCTCATTCAAGCACCCATACCTTTCCTTCCGCTTTCTCCCTTTATTTCCAGAGTGGTTCAATAGGTTGGCCTGGGAGACCCAGGCTACCTGGGCTGGGGAGGACAAGTCAAGATGCCACTGAAGGCTGGCAGTGCCCAGCCTCGGGCTGACCCAGGAGAGAACCAGGTGGCTTCAGTACAACTCAGGCATGATGAACTACCAGCGGGGGCATGCTTATGCCATCATGTAATGCCGCCCCCCCCCCCACCGTGTATTTCACAGTAGCTCTTGGCAGCAAGTCAGCAGCTCTGGCACAGAGGCACATGCCAACCTGCAAGCACACAGTACCATCACCATTTGCAGTCCCTCTGTTTGGAGGTACCTGGGCCTGCCCCAGGGGTATAATTCTGCCCAGAAAGATCCAAACTGTGGCCAGAGAAGGGTCCCCAAACGCTCCAGAGTGGTTCCCTGAGTTCTGGGGGAGGGACGATGGAAGGGGACAGGGAAGAGGCAGGCCCGGGTGTAGGGTCTGGTGTCAAGGTTCCCATCCCTGACTGTCCTTCTTCACCCCGCCCCCGGGGTCTCCATCGCCCCGGCCCTGCGCCACCACTTTAAGCCTAGGGGTAGCTCGGAGCTCCATGGTCCCCTCCCTAGAGCGGCCGCTCCCTCGGGCCTCTCCCGAGCCCTCAAAGAGCCGCGTGAGGAAGCGGGGGCCTGCCCGGGGCAGCAGATCCCCGGCGGTGAAGACGTAGAGCACCGGGTTGACGCTGGAGCTGAAGAAGGCCAAAGCGGTAGTTCCAGCCCGCGCCGCCTGGCCCGCCCCGCCCAGCCTCGCCAGGGCCCCTCCGGGCGGAGCCAGAGCGGCCGCCACCTGCAGAATGTTGACCGCGTGGTAGGGGGCCCAGAGCAAGCCGAAGGCGAGCACGATGGCGCTCACCAGCCGGCCCACCCGCGTCCCGTGCCGCCCGGCGCCCCAGCGGGCACCCCGCAGCCGCGCCAGCGTCAGGCCGTAGCAGCCGAGCACCAGCCCGAAGGGGAGCACGAAGGCCGTCAGCGTCTCCAGGCTCAGGTGGGCGGCGGTGTGGGCCGGCGACGGGTGGCACAGCTGGCACACGCGGTCTCCCCACACGTGGCGGTAGACGGCGGCCGGGGCGGCGAGCAGCAGCGCGGCCAGCCAGACGGCCAGCAGCAGGCGGCGGGCCAGGGCCGGACTGCGCAGCCGGGGCGCCAGGAACGGCCGGGTGACGGCCAGGCAGCGCTGCAGGCTGAGCAGGCTGGTGAGCAGGACGCTGGCGTACATGCTGAGCGCACACGCGTAGTACACGGCCTTGCAGCCCGTCTGGCCCAGCGGCCACGCCTGCCCCGCCAGGAAGGCCACGAAGAGAGGCGTGAGCAGCAGCACCGCGCCGTCGGCCAGCGCCAGGTGCAGCACGAGCGTGGCCGCCAGCGGTCGCCCCTGTGCGGGCCGCCAGCCCGCCAAGCTCCACACGACGAAGCCATTGCCGGGCAGCCCCAGCAGCGCCGCCAGCAGTAGGAAGGCCGTGCCCGTGACCCGCGAGGCCTTCCAGCTCAGCAGCGTCTCGTTCCCCGGGGGCCGGTAGCAGGCCAACATTCTTCTGCACCTACCGGGGGGTGGGGGGACGGGGCGGGGGGGGGGGGAGACGGAAAGGGCCATAGAAGGCATTTAGGGACTCTGTCTCCTCCCACCTCCCTGTCCTCCGTCTCGGAGCCTTGACTCAAACACTACTTCTTGGCCGACCCTAGCCCCAACTCAAACACTACTTCTTGGAACCCAAATGCCCTGCTGTCAGCCAGCTGACCTCCCCAGGCCTGACTCCCGGTTCCCACTCTCGCGACCTCCACCTCCACCCCCTTTAGTTGGGCCCCTCCTTTGTCCAGCCCCATTGCTTCTACCTCAGCGGAACGTGAGTGGTGGGAAGTCAACGTGCATGAGCAGAGCTACTTACCCAGCCGGGAGCTAGAAGGATGGTGGGCCCGCGAGGAGCCTGGGAAGCTGGAAGGCACAGCAGCAGCAGGAGAGGTGCCTACTCCTAACTTGTGCTTGTCAGGTTTGCAGTGTGAGACGAGAAGGGGGAGGGACAAGGTGGGGCTCTTCTCGGGCCTCTCACTGGGGCCCCTCCTGCACTCTACTCTTTCCCATCACTAACACGCCCAGGCGTGTGAGAGTCCGCCTCCCTAGGAAACAGGATAAGCTGCAGGGTACAGATAAGATTCCCAGATCATGTAGGTGAGTAGGGACACTGCTGAGTCCTGACTCTGGGTCCTGCATCTGCACTCATGCCTCCCCCCAGTTCTGGCCCCAGTTGTCCCAACCTTGCCACCTGCCTGTTATATGCTCTCAGGCTTCCCTGGCCGGCACTCAGCAGAGAAGGTGACCCAAACTACTCATTCCCCCAGCTGCTCTATCTTGGCCCATTTCCAGACTTCTGATCCAGGTGAGCCCCCTTTTCCCTCAGTTTCCTACCTACTCTTCTTATCTCTTACCTTAGGCCCTGCCCCAGTCGTTCCCCCCCCTCCCCGGGGAGGGGGGCTCTCACTGGGCTGTCATTTACAGCTTCCAGTCACGGTGCTGAGTTCTGGAGGATGCATGGAGGTACAAGGGGCTTATAACCTCCTTGAGGAATCATAACACACAACCTCCAAGAGACCCTACTACCGAGCTGCACCAGGATACAAGATAAGAAGAAAAGAATCGGTGCATTGGTAGAGACATACCGACAAGAAGCCTTCTCTGGGTGAAGAAGTCAGGCAAAGCCTGGAAATGAAGACATTCTAGGGGGACCTGGTACACTGATAAGGAGGAGGTAAGGGGAAAGATCCCTGCCCCGTCAACAGCTGGAACTGGGGGCTCCCAAGGAGCCAGGACACCAGTATTGTCTCAGTTTGGGTTACTTCCAAAGCACAGCCTGAATTAAGGGCTTGGGTACAGGTAATCCTGCATCTGGCAGGTCAGCTTTGGAAGCAGGAGTGAGGGAGCAGGGCAGAAGAGGGAAAAAGAGAGCCAGGAAGAATATGTTGTTGGGTCCCTTCAGTAGGGATCAGGAAGCTCTCAGAAGTACACAGAACACCTTCCAGAAAGACAGAAGACTGGGACACTGGTGCCCAGCTTGTATTCCCCATGGTCTGAGGGCTGTCCTGGAGGTATTATACACATTTGCAGCCTGTACTTGTCAGGAGTCTGAGTGGGCTGCCATAGCTTCGGACCCCGAGGCAGGAAAGCAGAGATTCACACTCATGTGATGGGTTCAGCCTTAGTGAGAGTCTGAGCTTCCAGACAAATGTCCACCACAACTGTCGCTGAAATCAGAGCAGACTCAGGGCACCAAAAGCTAGTCTCAGTGTCTTCAAAGGACACCCCCCCTTCACATCTCCTTCGTGCCCATTAAGTGGCCAAGAGAAAGGTGAGAGAGAAAGTGACCAGTCCAGTGTGGCTAAAGCAAGCCGTTCTGGAGAACAAAGCCGGTCCCTCCCCTAGATCAGGGAGGAAGAAGCAGGGAAGCAGGAAGTCCATGGTCCCTGCCAGGATCCTGGTAATCTTGGATCCGTGCAGCAGGATCCATGCTCCCCTCACCGCCCACCCTGGCACACTGCCTTACCCCTCATTATGTCCAAGCCCTGTCCACAATCCCACCCTCAGCCTGGCCTCCCTTTTGCTAAAGCTGCAGTTTGTGGCTTTCACAGTAGGTGGCGGCAAGTTCAGTGCAAATCCCACATAATGCAACTTCTCAAGGACTGGGAGCCCGAAACTATCCTTAGAAATTCTCTCCATAGAAAGAAAAAGACCAGAGATCACATCCCATCCCATCCTCTTACACCGTTCCCATTTATCCTCAGCACACGCCGCCACCAGACACACACACACACACACACACACACACACACACACACACACACACACCCCAAGCTTCTGTGACTTTTGCGGCAACTCTGGACCTCCATCCCTCCTCCACGATCCCATCTAGGCCCCTCCCCTTTCCCTCCCCTTGGACTTTGCCCCTCTTACTGGCCTGGCAGGGGGGGCCAGAGTCCGGGGTGACTCATCCCCCACCTCACTGGGGCTGAGATCCCAGCTCTGTAACAGAAAACACCACCACTTCAGCCCCAGCACAGCGGAGAACCACCCAGCCTAGAACTCACTGGGACAGGCAACTCTCCTGCTCCTGCCCTCCACCATGGAGTACCTCTCATCCCTAAACCCCAGTGGTCTGCTCAGGTGATTTCTAACCCTCCTCTCTACCCCCCAACTCTGAGGATAGTGCATGGCAACAAAATTCCACTCAGCCCCCTAGGAGACTCAGAGACTCACATACCCCTTCCCTTCCCCGCCCCCACTTTCCGCAGTGGGCTTGTCCAGCTATGGAACCACCACTGACCACCCCTCCTCTCTCCCTCTCTCCCTAGGCTACTCTGATCTCCAAACCTAGATCCCTCCCTAACTCTCCAAGCACCCCACCCCCAGTCATCCCCCCTGCAGTCACCAAACTCCTCAGTTCTTGACCTTTCTTGCCAACTACCAGGTCAGTATCCAGTATGAGCTCTGAGATTGGCCGGAAAGTCTGGACTTCAGCTCCACCACCCCAGCGACCTTTCCGAGTCTGTGATCACAAGCGGAGCACCCGGAAAGGTGTGACAGCTGCCACCCGCCAGGAACTGCTAGACAAGGTAAGTGAGCCAAATCCCTAAGTTCCTATTTGCAGGGGCAGCCAGGGTGCTAGAGAAGAGTGAGAACTTGGAGTGAACAGAAAGGCTGAGGTTAGTTACATGGCTGCCCCTCCCTCTAAGGGCTAAAAGGGGGGGGAGGCGCAGTCAGCCCAATGACCAATGCTGTATTTAGGTCAGTTCATTTCTTTTCCAGGGCGTAGAGGAAGGAGTGGATAGGGAGAGTTGGAGGGATGGCATTCAGAAGTCAGTATGGAGTGTCGATTTGTATGACAAATCAAGTTCAAGGCCTGATTCTATCAGGACTTGCCGGTTTGCTAGTGTCAAACTGTAGGGTGTTGTTCAGTCTATCAAAACTTCAGTTTCTTCATCTACAGAAAGGGAATAATGACACACCTTCCTCCTAGAGTTGTTGGAAGGAGTCAGGGAGGACAATGTATGTAAAGTACTCCATAGATAGATGCCTGACACTAATGAGGACTCAAAAATGTTAAGGGTCATTATTACTGAAAACAGTTCTGGAGGGCTCTCTGAGGGTGAGGACAGTGAGGTAGGACACTGGAGATAAGCCCGAAGGATGGACCTCAACAGAAGCAAGCAAGCTTTTCAATTCCAAGCCAATAGGAATGGCTCGAAGGGGTACAGGGGAGAAGACAGTGAAGTGGACAATGACATAGGAGCAAAGAGGAAGTCAGCCCTTAGTGAGGGTCCCCCAGCAACTGAAGAACACCAAGAGCTGGAGCCATTTGAAGGGATGGCAATTTTCCAGGAAGTAGAGTTGGGGTATCAGCCAGCATCTAGGGCCAACCAATGGATGTGGGGTAGCTGGGGAGGGAGGGGCATGGCTAAGCTCTGCCCCTTCTCCCTCCTGCTTCCTGTGGCTGGGCAGGCACTGGAGGCCCTGCTGCTGAGAGGGATGCTAACACTGGTGCTGGAGGAGGATGGGACCGCTGTGGAGAGTGAGGACTTCTTCCAGCTTTTGGAGGATGACACATGCCTGATGGTGCTGGAGCGCGGGCAGAACTGGAGCCCCAGCAGGGTGAGAGGCCACAGTGGGGCTGTCGTCAGCCACCAGTCTCTCTCGAGCTTCTCTAGCCCAACCATGATCCTGGGGCAGACACACTGGGAGAGGCGAGGAGTTGACAAGGACACCTTATAAGGGGTCAAACGGTCCGGGCAAGGGTGGGTCGGACCTAGTGCTGATGGGGAATAGTGGTGGGTGCCAGGGTGGGAGGGTGCACTGTACTGATGGAAGTGCCCTACAGAGTGGCATGCTGTCATATGGCCTGGGCCGGGAGAAGCCCAAGCACAGCAAGGACATCGCCCGCATCACCTTCGACGTGTACAAGCAAAACCCTCGAGACCTCTTTGGCAGCCTCAATATCAAAGCCACGTTCTACGGGCTCTACTCCATGAGTTGTGACTTTCAAGGACTCGGCCCAAAGAAAGTACTCAGGTCAGAGACCGACAGGTCATGTTTCCCCATCCCCCTACAGTTGCAGCCCCCCTAATTCCTTCTGCACTCACCTACCCCATTAGCTCTCCCTTGTGGAAAACCCCCTCGATGGCCTCCTCCCAGGTTCCCCCACCCATCTGACTCCATCTTGTCTCTGCCCTTCAGGGAGCTCCTCCGTTGGACCTCTGCACTGCTGCAAGGCCTGGGCCATATGCTGCTGGGAATTGCCTCCAGCCTTCGCCATGTAGTAGAAGGGGCCGAGCAGTGGCACTGGCAGCAGCAGGGTCGCCTCCATCCCTACTGAGAAGGGGCTCTGAGCTGCTTTCTGCCCCTAGACTCATTCCAAGAGACATACTGTGAGGACTGTGACAGCATTGGCTTTGGAGATGGGAGGACAGTGCAGATGAGATGACTCACCGATTTCCCCACTGTCTTCTGACCCCACTGTTACAGGCCCCATCAGCATAAGGCCTTCC